GCTATAAATAAGATAGGTCGAATTTTGGCTGATTCTTGGCCGATTTCTGATGTATGCCAATCGGCTAAGCTGATTTTTGATAATTTGCTGATTTTAAGCCGATTTTCGCATGTCTGATTTTTTTGATTTCGACCAGTGGTAATGCAACCTACTTAAATTTGAAAGACAATGTTCTAATATTCAAATATTGAGAATGATCCAGATTATGAAATAAATATACATTTCAATTTTATTGGAATAATATTGATAGGGAAACTTACCTATTTATTATATATTATAATTACCATTTATATGTAAAGTATATTTTCCTTTAATAATAGAATTTAGTAGAATTTAGTTTTCTTTTAAATAAAGCAAATTCCTAATTTTTCTATTTATATATATGGGAAGTTTACTAAGAAAATCAGGTTCTGAGAAGTTTTTAATAAAATTTTATTTTTATTATAATTCAGTTTTTGATGTTATTAGATTAAAATGTAATAAGGTCTTAATTTTAATCAAAAAATTCTCAGAATCTGATTTTCCTAGTAATCTTTCTATATAACATTAATTTTCTAATAATTTTTTAAAAAAAAATTACCTCTTTAATTAATACTTACTTTTAAAAAAAAAGTCTTTTCATCAATATTTATTATATTTCATTTAAAACTTCAATCAAATATGATAAAAATTAATTGCTTTATATATTCAATCAATTTTTTCTTTAATATTTTTGACAAAGTTCAAAACCTAATTTATTAACTTTATTAAGAATTTAGATAAATTTGCTTTTAAATAATCAGGATAAAAAAAAAGATATAACATAAGTTTAGATTTTAAATAAGTAACAAATATATAAATATTTATAGCAGCTTTATTATAATTTTGTATTTAAATAAATAATTCATAATTTATACATTATTAGTTTAATAAAATAAAGAAACTTTTAATTTATGATTAAAGTTAAACATTATTATTTTATATAAAAACTATCTAAAATATAAATAATTATTTTTTTTTTCTAATTACAAACCAAATATTTTATTTCTTTAATTCGTAATTTGCTAATCACGTGTAGATTATGCATATAAGCTACATATAAAATTTTCGGATTAATAAACTATAATCTTTTTTTATACTCTGTGAATCTCAAGAAATTCATAGTATTTTTTTATATTAAAGAAATTAACTATATCATGAATTAACAGTATTACATTCAAAATAATATTTACACAAAAAAATAAAGAAAGTTTTTGTGAAAAAGCCATATTATAGTAATAAATATCAATATAATTATGGCAAAATGATATGAACTTGCAGTTACGTTAATTTATAATGGAATAATTGAACCCTGCTTACACTATAGATCATTTTCACAAAATTTGTGATTTATTCTGATAACAAAAGATATTAATGATATAAGAATGATGTATCCTATTCGTGTTGGCATAAAAACACAGATAGAAATAAATGAAAAAAAATTTATTATGTGTGTTTTAGAAGAAAATAAAAATGATATAAATCAACCTGACTATACTTGTCAATGCGATTCTGATTCCAGTGAAATTGAAGATAATCCAACCAATGCAATTACTTCTTTATATAGAAAAATTTTTAAAACTCAAACAAAAATTTCAGGTTCAATGGTTATAGGCTTTGATAAAGAATCAATATTTAGTGAATTATTACATAATATAGAATTTTGTCCTTATTCAATTAGTTTAGCAGATAAACTATCTATTATGATCTTTAGTTTAGGTACTTCTAAAAAGGAAGGTTAGATGAGTTCTGGAGAGGGGTATATGGCTTCTTTTATTCATGTTTTTAAAAAAGAGTGTTGTATATTTGTTCAAAAATTTGTAAAAAATAAATCCATAGTAGAAGTATAGAATAATAATATAAAAATTTCATAATATGAAGGTAATTCATCAGCAAATATTTGGCAAAAAGTTGAAATTTTGGGAAAATATCAGGGTACGCAATTATTTGAACTTGAGCATACATATACACAATCTGTATTGCAACGATTATATATTCCTAAATGTCAACCATCTCAATGGGATGATAAAGAGCTAATAAATAATCTATATGAATACTATTTCAAAAGATGAACTATTATTAAAGTAAATTAGTCGCAATTGTTTAAACAATGGGAATTTAGTAGAAATATTATTAAAATAAATACAACTCTAACTAATTTATATCCAAAAAATCATCAATTTAATGATCATGAAATATAAGTATAAAGTTCTATGCTTAAAGCCACTAGCTGTACAGATGTAATATCTTTCAATAATAATATTTTACTAGTAATTATATTTATTTATTGATTTATTTAAATTACATCAAATAAACTAATTATAATTTATATACAATATAGCATAAAT